ATCATTAAATAATCAGAAGGTAAATACCGTAAATCTATTTTTTATAAGGAAATGCAGGGTTTATGAGAAAAAAATTTAGAAATGAACTTGCATTACTTGCTTGTGCCTTTCCCAAACCAGACGTGAAGGGTTCTGAGGGTCTTTTCCTTGCCAGCCAACAACAGCTTTCGAATCTATGACAGTTGCATGCGGGGTATCAACACCAAGCTGCTTTGCTGAAGCACTCGTTGTTTCAGGCCTCTCCATTATTCGATCCATTACATAGTTGTGCATAGCCGTGACGCCCTCTAAACTGCCTTGGATAAGACAAACTCGTTCGGAAGTGCCTTTAAAAGCAAACAAGATAAAGATATAATAAGACAAGATAAATAAGGATAGAAAGGATAAAATTTACACAATAGAGACCTGGGTAAAAATCATCATTTTTTGATAGTTTAATCTTAGCACTAGTTTCTTTTTGTATTTGAGCAATAGCTTCCCCTCCTTTTCCAATAATAGCACCAGCGGCGATAGACGGAACAAGAATCTTAAAATAAATTTGGTCTAGGCATGTGAAAAATATTGTGACATATACCATTCTGTTTTCTTCCAATAGTAGAATCCGATGAGATTCCGATAAACTCTCGACGATCCTTTTCTTTTTTTTCAATTTGATTGCCATTCATACTCTGTATTTAGATACATTGAGTTATCATCCCGAAGCAGTCCTATAACGAAGTGAAAGAACGCATTGTTTCGCCGATAAAAGGCACAAAAGTAAAAAACATCATAAGCAAATAAGAGCAAATTGATTATATTGTATAATTTATATTAAGATTACTCTATAAGAACCCAAACAGATGACTAAATTCCAAGTCGGGGAAACGACCAGCTGTTAGGAGTTCAATAGCAGGCTAGATTTGCGCAATAAATTTATATTAACAAAGAATTATAAAACATCAATTTTCTATTTCATTAACAATACAAAAAATTAATTTTATAATGTTTAAAATTTAGATTTTATAAATTATATTAATATTAATAAAAAGTTTAGTTATTGTAAAATTAAAAAAATTGTTTATAAAGTGTTGTTTATATTTTTTGGCGGCTAGTCATCAGCAGGGACGAAATGCCTTTTAAGATTCCGAGGCTGGATTCCAATTCTACCCTTAATCGGTTTAAATAAAAATTTATTGCTTATATTTACAGGGAAAATTATATTTTGAATGATACAAAAAAGTGGTTTAGTCGTTCTCTTTCTCAGGAAAAGTTTCCTCAAAGTTCCCAGAATACGTTTAATACTACATTTTCTAGGGACGAGTTCCCAGAAAGCTCTAGTCAGAGTGCC